TAAACTATTTTCCACCACAAAAAAATCTACCTAATTTATAGAATTAGATCTAATTCTATAAATTAGGTAATTCCTAGTTTTCTGACTAATCTGGTCTATTGGGCAGTGAGTGTGGACGGCTACACCCTGACCCTGGCGGCGAACCCGTGGAACATTGTGCGCACCTACAACCTGACGCCCGGCCGAGAGCTCCTCTTCGCCTGCCGCTACCGGCTCGGCACGGCCTCCAACTTCGTGGTGTACATGTCCGAGGCCGACAACGTCTACGACCCCCTGTACGGCAGCTTCGCGGGAGACCAGGGCGCCTGGAGCACGGCCAAGATGTACTTCACAGCGCCTCCGAACGGAGTGCTTTGGGCCTGCCCAACCAGACGGCAGGAACGGTGGACGTCTACGGCCTCCAGATCCTGGACGCAACCCTGGAGGCCGGCAACACGGCGGAGGAGGCGGCCTCGGCCCTGCTGCTGAAGCACGAGTTCCTCGACGGCGGGGCCGACGACGTCACGCTGGCCACCCTGGGCGAGGTGCTGCTGGAGCCCACGCTCACCACGTTAGGCAATTCCAACAGCCAGAGCTCCGTGGCCTCGGCCAGCTTCACGGTGGGAGGCTTCCAGCTGGAGGGCTACGCCATGACCCTGAGCGCCTTCGCCTGGAACATCGTGCGCACCTACACGCTGACGCCGGGGAGACGCTACTCCTTCGGCTGCCGGTCGTGTTCACGACGGGCGTGGACGCCTCGGGCGCAGTCTCCTGCGCAGCGCTCACGGCCGCCGGCACCGTCGCCGGAGCCACGCTGTCGTCCACAGGGGCCGTGTCAGGCAGCTCGCTGAGCATCACGGGGGCGGCCAGCGTGGGCCTGCTGCTCGGCCACCGGAATCACGGGCAGCACACTCACCATCAACAACACGGCCAACGCCGGGAACTTCACCATGGTGGGCGACGTGTCCACGGGGACATTGACGGCCTCAGGCGCAGCAACCGCGGCGAGCTTCGCAGCCACCGGGGCGCTCACGGGCGCCACGCTGACAGTCAGCGGGGCGGCCTCCACGGGCCCGCTGGACTGCGAGAGCCTGGGCTGCACCTTCACGGCCACGAGCGGCGGAGTGTCGACGGGCAGCGTGGTGTGCGGCGACGCGACGAGCTCGGGCACGGTCTCCGCGCCGCAGCTCTTCGCCTCCAACACGCTCACCGTGACCAACACCTCCGACTTCTCGGACGATCTCTTCCTGACGAAGAACTGGGCGGGCTGGAGCAAGCTGCAGATTTCCAACAACAGCGCGGCCTCCGACAGCGGCCCGGAGCTGCGGCTGCTGGGCAACCAGAGCGCGCGGGTCTTCCTCGAGCGGGGCGGCGGGGCGCATCGTTCTGGAGCGTGGTCTCGCTGGCGGAGAGCGCGGCGTTCGTGGCGTACGAGGCCAGCAGCGTCGTGTCGGCCTTGGCGCCCTGGAGCGCCGAGATGCTGGCATCCCGGCTAGCAAGCTGCGCTGCGACGGCCTCGGTGGCGAGACCCAGCAGGGCATTTGCTATCTTGGTGTCTACCTCCAGTGGCGTGTCCAGCCCGTCCACTGTGGAGAGCAGGGCGGCCAGCTTTTTGGACGATGTCTACGCTGTAGTCCACCAGCCGGACGATTCGCTCCGAGCACGGCCTGGAGGACTTCCAGCATGGCACGCTGGGAAACCGTATGGAAGGCTCCAACTTAATGAGCCGACAAAAACGGTCGCCTCGGGGTCGCGCTCCGCAGCTAGAGCAAACCGGCGCGGGTGGTTTCCTAGAGGGCAGCTGCATGCGAGGGTGCGAGTCAAAGCCGGACGACTATCCCCCGGACGTCGCCCAGATACCTTGCGCAGGGCAAGCAAGCGACCCAGGCCGCGCGCAGGCGCAACAGCAGCTGGGATTTGGGCCTCGGACGACTTCGCAGGAACGAAGTGGAAGAACCTGACGGGAACCGCCCGGTGGAGCGACGGCACCGAGATGGTCACGCTCGACTACTCGCACCTCACCAGCGTGCTCTGGGGGGTGTGCAAGGGCTTCCAGGCCAGGCTGGACGCCGTGGAAGCCTGGCAGGCCCAGCGGGGGCCGAAGAACAAGTAAACATGGAGGCCCTGAGGGATCTTGCCGATGGCTTCAACGTACACGACCCCCGCAAGCTGTACCGCCTCGCGAGGCAGCGGGACATGGACGTGACGCAGGCCATGGCCTTCGAGGCGCTGCGGGCCGGCAGGCGCAGGCGCCCCGGCCACGTGCGCTGGGCAAGTCGGCTGCCGAGGCGCCAAACGACCGGCTGCAGGCCGACCTGATCGACTTCAGCCAGAACACCAGGGGGAAGACCAAGTACGGCCTCGTGGTCATGGACGTCTTCACCCGCAAGGCGGCCGTGGAGCCGCTGCAGAGCAAGAGCGCCGAGGCGGTGGGGCAGGCCACCAAGCGGGCCACCCGGGAGCTGGTGGGCGAGGAGCGCAACTTCGTGGTCACGACCGACCTGGGCAACGAGTTTGCCACGCTGGACCGGGAGCTGCCCACGGAGGCGGTGCACCGCACCAAGCGGCCCGAGGACCGCAACGCCACGGCCGTGGTGTGGCGACCAGGGTGGCCCGCAGGGGCGGGCAGTGGAGCGACCACTTCGAGCAGGCCGCGGGCGCCTACAACGCCCGGCCGCACGAGACGGTCTACCCGAGGACGTGGAGCGGCAGCCGGCCACCGAGTTCCGGCTGCTGCAGGACAACGCCGACAAGTTCCAGCACAACAAGGATTTGACGGACCGCTGCATGAAGGCGGTCGAGGACGCGGGGGCCTTCAGGGCGCCCACCAACGCGGCCCGGAGCTTCAACCCGCAGTACGGCGACGTGCAGCGGCTGGGCGCCGTGGACTCCATGACGGTGAAGAGCACCGAGGGCCGCGAGACCCTGCTGAAGCTGGCGCTGCCGGCGCCCCAAGGCAGCGGCAACGCAGCGGGCCGGCTGACGAGGCGTGGCAGGCCCGCTGCTGCGAGGCAGCTGGACGACTTCCTGGGGCAGCCGGCGCGGCCCAGGACCATCGACTGATGCGGCCGAGAACCTACTCGACGGGGCGGTTCTTTTTCGTGCTCATCTGGGCCGAAAATGAACCGCTCCCGCGGGACCTTCAAATTGTCCAAGCCGGCCCAAAATACGGCTGAGAACCTCCTAAAAGCTGCTTCGGCTGGCTCCGTGGCTGCTCTTTTGGCAACAGACCATTGGGCCAAAGTTCTTAGGGTTTGGGGTCCCCAGCATGATCAGCAGCTTGGGCCAAACTCCTGAGCTCCTAGGGTTTGGGGTCCCCAGCAAGAACAACAGTCCGAGCCAACTTGAACGGGACGCTTCTACCAAACAACCTGGGCGTCAAGTGTCGCACAGGGTGAACGATGTGGCACAAGCTCGACACATGCGGCAAACCATGGGCACATGCCATAGTGGCCTCTCCGACCCTCTGACACCAGTTCTCTTTGCTCCTGTAATGCAGGTCAACAAGCTCGCCGGACTCACATCGTCGACCTGACCGCCAGGCCAGAAAGCATGGCATGTTGACGTAAACACCTGTCAACATTGTCAACCTGAGTGCCAGGCCCACAACACGGCATGTTGACGTAAACACCTGTCAACATTGTCAACCTGAGTGCCAGGCCCACAACATGGCATGTTGACGTAAACACCTGTCAACATTGTCAACCTGAGTGCCAGGCACACAACATGGCATGTTGACGTAAACACCTGTCAACATTGTCAACCAGAGTGCCTGGCCCACAACATGGCATGTTGACGAAAACACCTGTCAACAATGTCAACCTGAGTGCCAGGCCCACAACATGGCATGTTGACGTAAACACCTGTCAACATTGTCAGCATCACCTTTGACACGCCGGAGAGCTCGCGTGTTTACACTGTTGACGGGTGTTTACCCAAACATGGCTTGTTGGCTGGCTGACCCGCCTGAAAGTTCAGACCGGCCAGCGGAGGCGTCTACCTGCCCAAGCTCAGGTTGACAATGTTGACGGGTGTTTACGTAAACATGGCTTGTCTGACTGGTGGGGTGGGGTACATGGGCGGTCACATCTGGATTGGAACATCGCGCCAACTGAATCAAGAAGGGGCTGCAATCTGTTTTTTCACAAGGCATGCACTGAGTTTCTGCTGCAGCAGCAAGATCGACTGCCACTTGCTCCAAGCGCACGTACAGGGAGTAGGCGGCTGAGGCGAGGTCGCCACGCCTTCGCCTCCGGGGTCAGCCGCTTCCAGCAAGCCCGATGCAAGGCATTGGTCGCATCCTCAAACTTCTCCTATAAAGATTCAGGGGGCAAAAAAAAAACGTGAAAATTCACGTCAGTTGCTACGAAGTCCATGCAAAAACGTGAACATTTGCGTCAGTTATTACGCCGTCCATTCCCCAGACGTCAAAAATAGAGGCTGAAGATTGAAAGTAAACCCCTAAACGCCAAACTAAGCCCTAAAGGTAAACCCTAAAGGCGCCACTTTCTGAGGCTCATCGTTTTGGTAAGCAGCCAGATTCCCGTACGCTTCAGTGGCACTCTGTGCCAATCCTCTCTCCCAAACCCCTAAACTCCTAAACCCCCAAACCCAAAAAAGCCCAAACTGAACCCTGAGAGTAAACTGTAAATTCCTAAACCCCTAAACCCTAAAGGGCCCACGAACTCGCTGAAGAAAGAGTCGTTGTACAAGTCGTCCACCTGCTATGAATTAAGTCGCGTTTTTATTGGCGGGGGTTCGGGTTTGAGGGGGTTGGGCTTCAAGTCTTGCCACAGAGACTGCCACAACTGTTCTCAAATCTGCTGACACACAATGCACGGGTTTCATAATCAGCTTGCGAACGGGTCTGTCGCGAGTCTCCACCCTTACTTGCGTGGAACTCAAGCTGATGCCTTCGAATTTTGGCTTTTTTTGTGAGCTTATGAGGGATTCTCTACCTGGGGCGCGATGTTCCCCTGCTTGGGTGCGGTGTTCCCCTAAGCACAAGAGCTCTTCCAAAACATCACGCAAGCGCGGCTGGTGGGTTTCTCACTCGTTCGCAAGCAGTTCTGCTCACAGACTTCGTACATGCTCTTCTGCATGCTGCCTCAAGCCGGCCCTACCGAATTTGACGCCAGAAGTCGCTGGATCAGATCTCCTGTCATGCTTGGGCAGCGCTGGGTGTATCTGTCGACAATCCTGGACGGATTTGTCAACTCCTGATGCTGCCTATGCGCCATTTCTGCTTTGAGAAAGAGCGCTCGCATGTGAGGCGGGGGGCGGACAGAAATTTGTTGGCCGTGCAGATCTCTGAATTTCAGCTCTTTGAGCTCTCCCCGCCCTTTCTCTTTTCCCTTCACTGGCGCGAATTTGGAACATTGGCGATCTACATACTTGATGACTGTGTCCTTCAATGCCTCGCTGATCTCCACCACGAGAATCAGTTCATCTCTGCCTGGTTGAACCTCAGCTGGGATCAGGGTCAACCTCCCGGCTTGATACTTCAGCTCCACATCCTTAAGAAGAAGCAGTGCGTTTTTGGCATCTGTTGTGTGAAACCCCCAGTTCTCAGCCACTGTCCACTGTGCCTTCGGAACGATGTGTTCCGCAACTGCTGGGAACCAACGGCTGGCATAATTGCGGGATTTCTTTGGACTGAAAAGCTGTCCCAAGATGACACACGAATTTGCGCCCCCGTAGTACTTCTTTGCTGTCTCATGGAAAGTCTTGTCAGTCAATTGCGATACCACATCTTCTGGGACTGGATGCACGCGGTAGAGTGGTGTCACGAATGTATTGATGTCCTTTTGTATGGACTCCACCTGCTTCTGCAAGGAGTCCTGCTTCTCCACCAAGGAGTCCTGCTTCTCCACCAAGGAGTCCACCTGCGTCATCATCGCTTGCATCATTTGCATCATCTTGTCCATTCGCTCATCGGAATTCACTGCCATTGTGCTATGACTACGCGTCTGTGCTTCTTGATCTTCACTACAAACGTCTGCGAGGCAAAGGAGGCTGCCCGTGCCGCTCGAGGACAAAAGTCAACGCTTTGGGATGAAATCATCGTATTGGGGACGAAATCATTGCTTTGGGGGCGAAATCATCGTTTTGAGGACAGAGGTCAGCCCGTTGAGCCAAGTCTGAGGGGAGCTTCTAACAGATCACTTGGACGTCAAGTGTCGCACAGAGCGATGTGGCACAAGCTTGCCATGTTTACACTGTTGAGGGTTGTTTACGTAAACACGGCTTGTTGGCTGGCTGACCCGCCTGGAAGTTCAGACCGGCCCTGCCCACGCAAGAAGAAGTTGACAATGTTGACAGATGTTTACGTAAACATTGCTTGTTTTGCCACAGACCATGACCGGCCTAAGCCCCCGAGGATGTTGCGGATGATCTGTGCAACCTGTCAAGGGCCACTTGGGCCAGCACCGCAAAAACGGGAAACGGGGCCTGAGCCCCCGAGGATGTTGCGGATGTTCTGCGCAACCTGTCCGGCGGCCCTTGCCTGCTCGGCACCCTGGTGCCTGCTCGGCACCTCTTGCGCTTGCTCAGCGCCATCCCCTCCCTTCCCCACCGGCCGCTGCCCTTCAGCCCCCGATCGCGATTTGCGGCCGGCGGGGAGAGTCTTTCATCAGCGCCTGCTCGACACCTCCTGCGCTTGCTCAGCGCCACACCCCCCTTCCCCACCGGCCGCCTGCCCTTCAGCCCCCGATCGCGATTTGCGGCCGGTGGGGAGAGTCTTGCATCAGCAGCCTGCTCGACACCTCCTGCGCTTGCTCCTTCAGCCCCCAATCGCGTTTGGTGGCCGGTGGGGAGGGTCTCTCTCATGAAAAAATCAAGGCAATATGCCAAATTTTCCAAAACTCTCACAGACTTTCCATGTAAAATCGTGGTTTTAGTGGCTGACGGTGCACATCTCGCCGATGGACTTGGCGTTCTGCTACAGGGGGGCACGGAACGGGGCACCTGGCATACTTGGGGAGCCTTGGGTTGGGGATCACAGTCTCAATGATTGGACGCGGGCCCTGGCGTGTGGAGCAGGTCCATGCAGGGAACGGGAAAGATCTGGAAGAATCCAGGTTTCCTGAGGACCCTCACTCACCTGCCAGGTGGTCACGGGGGGGGGGGGGTGCAAAGAGGGTGCAAAGAGGGTGCAAAGAGGGTGCAAAGAGGGTGCAAAAAGGGTGCAAAGAGGGTGCAAAGAGGGTGCAAAAAGGGTGCAAACAGTGAAGTTAAGGGGGGGACATCACCAAAAACGAGGCAAGGGTTAGGGTGCGCTTGTGACAGCGCCAAGCAAAACGGGCCGGAAACCTGATACTGGTGATGCCAAGCAAACTGATGCTGTTGATGCCAAGCTGCACTCGCAATCTCAAGGCCTGCTAATCTCCCCAATGACCCCACCGTGCCAGCTCTGCGTTTCTCTGATCTCCCAGCGGCTCTCTGCGCTCATTCAAGCCAACACCAGTGAAAACAAATACAGTTGATCATGACAAAATGTCAAGTTGGGTGATCGTCAGAGGCCCTGGCCGGAACGAGAAGTCCACGGCGATGTCCCAAGGCACACCTGCGAGTCAGCGCTCGGCCCCAAAAAGAAGAACAACCGACCAGCGTGCCTGTTACAGTTGGGTTTCCCAGTGACCTGTGCTTGAACACCTTCAGGAAGCACCAAGCATCACACGAGAACAGACACTACACTTCATCATGACCAAAAGGCTGAGACAGATCCCCAAGGCCCTGGCCGGGAGAAGATGGTGAAGTTGCAAAGACCTGTGGCGCGGGGCAGGACGACCGGCGAAGCGGAAAGTGGGGGAACACAAACGGAAAAAGAATCGGCCTTGAGCAACCACAAAGGACCCGTCGACCCGATCCCAAAAACACAAAACTCCAAGACAGCTGCGGCGGCAAAGCACGCGAGTTCAAAACAAACAACGACTCAGACATGCCAAAAAGCGAACTCATGCCATACAAAAACACACTAGGGAAAAAACAGCCCCCGCATGCAACCCGCGAGCTCTTCCAACGCAAACAAAAACGTTTTTGAGACCATGATTTTTTCGAAAAAACGCCCTCTCAAAAAACGGCCCCGCAAGCGTCCCCGCAAGCGTCCCCGCAAGCGTCCCCGCAAGCGTCCCCGCAAGCGTCCCCGCCCCTTGTTTTTGTGGGACGCATAGCGCACCCCGCCGCATGTCCCACAAAAATGCCCTCCCAGAGCCTCCTGTGCCTCGCGAGAAGCCGCGACATCGAAAACAAAACTTTGGGGTGCTCTCAAAAAAAAACGCATCTCGTGCCACGTGGTTCCAAAACATGCAAAAATCAAGCAAGCAACTTGAGCCAAAGGCATCCCTCTGCATCATCAAAATTGCAACACGCTCCTTTTGCCGCAGTGCTCGCCTGGCGCGACACACTGCTCGAGTCAACGTCCGACCAAAATATGGCCGCCCCACAAAGAAAAAACACATGGCAAGCTGGGCGAGACAGCGACAACAGATCACGGAAGCGGCTGACAACGGCGCCAGGGCTCGCACAACGGCGGATGGCTCCATTGTGCTGAACCTAAGGCGAGGACGCGCTGCTATCGCGGGCAGACAGGCAGCTGACAAGGGCCGGGCAGCACTATTACTCGCACCGAGCAAGGACTTTGACTACAACCAATTGATTTGCGAGGGCCCGAACGACTACATTTTACTACGGAACGGACACCGGCTCACCAAGCTCTTCCGCGACAAGTACTACGAGTACCTGGTGCTCTCTCTTTAGAAGGTATTCCCAAATGGATTCTATTCTACCTGACAGGCTCCTAGCACTCGTCCGTCCAGGAAATGACCTCGTCCTGCGAAGGATTTGAAGTCTATAACGCTGCGTGCAGGCGTGTGGCTGCAAAATAATGACCCCTAGATATGCGCCGCAATTTGGCTCCAGGTTGCATTTCAAGCGATGTCAAGCTTTGCCAAAGGAAACCCCTTTTCCATTTGTTTTGGGGACCCCTTTTTTTGGGACCCCTTGTTTTCTCTTTTTTTATTTTTTCTTAGCCCTGCAAAGGTTGGCTCGCTTGAAATGCAACCTGGAGCCAAATTGCACGCATATCTAGGGGCATTATTTTGCAGCCACACGCCTGCACGCAGCGTTTTAGACTTCGAATCCTTCGCAGTCATTTCCTGGACGGACGAGTGCTAGGAGCCTGTCAGGTAGAATAGAATCCATTTGGGAAACCCCCTCTAAAGAGAGAGCCCCGCCGTTGCCGCCGCGCCAACTCCCGCCGCGCCCTGCGGCTCGCTTCGCCTTCTTCTTGGCCTTTCCGAAGGCGGCCTTGCCGCGCTTGGAGAACTTGAAAGCCGGCGCGCTTTTGCGACTCGACAGCCATAGATTCGGGACTTGGCTCTCAAATGGCTCTTCGTCTGGGAAGTGAACCATGCAAAACCCAGCTGCTCCTTCCTTCAACTCGCCATGAATGCACTTGCCTCCTTCCAAGGCTTTGACATAGCAGCCCTGGCTGGGGTCAAAGTACGCTTTTGCCAAAGGGATTGCAGCAGCTGCCTGGAGATCCTCTTCCTCCGAGTCTTTCACAACCAAAACATCTGAATCTGAGTCCACCTGGTCTGCCTCTCCCACGTCAGAGGCCTCTGCAGCTGCCTCATCGTCAACTGATGCATTACTGGCAGTGGCTGGAAGACCATACATGCTGAAAACATCGCACGAAGCTGTAGCCTTCCTTTTGAAACGGTATCTTCTGCTTGGCTTAAAGGGTGCAGGGTCACCTGCAGGAAGAGCCTGTGCTGCGCCAGGTGTCTCGACGGGCTCGCGTTCTTTCATGGGATCCATGGCTTTCTGCGGAGTGCCTTGCCCTGTAAGCTGCTTGAGCTTCGACACAAGCCTCCACACACTGGGCGTGAGCTTCTTCCCGGAACTGCTGGACTGCAGCTTGCTCCTCAAACGCTTGAAGCAAGCAGATATGTCCCTTGCCACTGCGCGAGCATCCTTGCCACTGACGTCATAAGATCTGACCAAGCCGTCCCTCAGCACAGACTCTGAAGGCCGAACTGTCTCATCCATGATGTCTGCCAGCAAGCCCTCATACTGTGCTATAACCTCCTCCACATCCTTTCTGAAAGCGCCGGGTCCAGGTCTTTGAAGTGAGATCTGAAGCACTTCACCAAGTCTTTGGCACTAGCCGTGTTTCTAGCTCGAGGAGGCGGCATGTTTGCAGCCATGCAAGGGCTCGGTCCAACTGCGTCTGCTGCCTTTACGCAGGCACATGCACGCCGCTGCACATACTCAAAAAACATGCTTGAAAAAAGAAACAACAACAATCTGCGGAAAAAAACAACACGTCCATCGTCCCCAAGTTACAAAAACCTTTGACGTTCAGCAAAACAAAGATCAGCGTTCAAGCAAAAATATATTTGCAATCTTGGAGTAAAATTCGAGACATGTGTGTGAAATCCATGAACCATAGAAAATCAAGCTCTCTATTTAAGCATTATTTTTTGCAAAAACAACAATGCTTAATTAAGCGAACAATGCTTAAATAAAAACTACAATGCTTAATTAAGCACAAAACAATGCTTCCTAAAGCATTTTTGCTTCAAAAAACAAAAAACAATGTTTAATTAAAGGAAAAACGCTTAATTAAGCATTCACTTTAAGCATTGTTAGCTTAATTAGACATTGTTAAATTATTTAACTACTTTTGGAAGCTCTGGGACTCCGCCCACGCCCTCGGCGGCAACGGCAACCTCGCCCTCCTCCGCAGCCACGGCCGCCGTCTCCTCAACGGCCTGCGCGCCGCGCTCCACCTCCTGCGCGCGCTGCCCCGCCTTGTCCAGGAGGCGCTCCACGTCACTGAGCCGGCCTATGATCTGCGGAGGCGGCGGGCCCGGACGGGGCAGCACGTTCAGACGCACGTCTCGGCTGCATTCTGGAGCGCTGAGAGCGGAAGGCCTGCGCGGCTGCAAGCCGCGGCCCCTGCGCCTATAAGGTCCGCTGCCGCCTGAGCGCCGTCTGCAGTGCTGCGCAGACGGTCCGTGATGGAGGGCGGCCCCTGCCCGTTGGCCAACCTAGCGGGTTCCGCCGTACCCTTGGTACCTTCGCGCCAGCCGCACGTCCTTGTCCGTGGCCTCTGCGGAAGTGCGGAAGCCGTCCTCGGGAATTGCCTGCAGAGGCGTGCGCTGCAGGGGCCGAGGGTTGGGGTCCTTGCTGGACTGCACAAAATCGTCCAAGTAGAAGTGGCTTGTGATGAACGAGGTGGCCTTGCGGTCCGACTGATCCAGGGGCAGCGGCTTACTCCGCTC